TGGTCTTTTTAGATTAGCTTCCGTGAACAATAAATACACCAGTCATGTGTTAACAGAAACTTTATTAGCTTTTAAACAATTCCTAAACTATAAATTTAACATTTTTTAGACATACATTTCAATACATTGCACAAACTTTGAAGTAATTTGCAAGGCCAAATAACCTCAAAGCGCTCAGTAAGGGATCAAAAGATGGCTCTGATGTAATTCTGAATTTTCAGGATCTTCTTTTACATTAAATGCAAATATGGACTATGTAATGTAATGTTTCAGATTTTCAAAATGCTGACAAGTGAAATTTCCTGAGACTTCCCCAGGAGTCTTATTGTACTTTCAAAATTTAGATCTTTCTTTAAAAAACATCCATTGCAGTTATAATATTTAGCAACTAATATAGGTACTGTACATCTTTCCAATTATAATCAGGCACAGTTCAAATCATTTTCATGAAACTAAAAAAATACCCAATACTGATTAGTGTCTTTAAAAAAAGCCATGATGATATTCCAGTAAAACTATTTGATAATCACTTTATTTTCTTTGTTACATATTTTACATTCACTGTAGGTATAAAATTGTCCACTACAGAAAAACAACATGTCATATAAAGTCAACATTGTAACTTTTAGCAACAAAAGTAACTGCTAAGATATAGTGAATAAACACATTTTCTTGCATTTTTCAAACCTGTAAGCCAGGGGGAAAAGAGATGGGATAAATAGGCACTGCTCATTCCTAAGCAGTGGGTCATTCCTAAGATTACAATGTTTAATACCAGGCCAACTTTTCATTCTCTACTGTGTGCACTTTAAAACAAAAAATAAAGATAAAACTTTTTAATATTTATTATAAAGCATTGTGTGGGTTACTAGAGTTGAAAGCTTTTTATACACTCAAAGCAATGTGATATAAAATAAATAATGAAACACTTAAAACAACACAGAAAATTAAGAAACATTTAGAGAATCTCTATGCGAATGAGGAAGGTTCAATACATAAAGTAACAAGCTCCCACAGCAATTTATTCATACCTAGTTTTAGGTACACGCATGAACAATTATAAGGTCATAGTACACATCACCAGATAGTACACTTTTCCAGAAAATATCCAAATGTGTTTAAGTAGAGTTTGTACCATGGTACCACCACATTGAACTTGGTACAGTGGAAACCCAACTTCAGCTTCTGAAGCTTAAACTTAACTACCTGTTTTGCTGTTGGCTGCATGCTGTCTTTCAAAAGGTCCTTCTTTAATTAAGGGACTGAAGAGATGGAAATAATTGGATGACAGGTCAAGGCTGTGAGAAGGGTAGTCCAGTACTTCCCACCTGTAATACTGTAAGCCCTCACAGGTGTAGTTCACTGTGTGTGGACTGGTGTTACTGCGCAGTAAGATGATGTCTGAATGCAGAATTCTAGAGAGAGATAATTTCATTTATGAAAACTGATAGTAAAAACATTTTGATGATGATTGTCAAAAATTACTTTTTGTTGTTTGCAATTACAAAATGAGATGAAATCACAAGTTTTGCCTAAACCTCAAACAAAAATAGTCAATTTGTGTCATTTATGCTTTTACCTCATATCTTTATCTCAAATAGTAACCAAACTCAGGAATGCATGAACTCAGGAATGCTGCACACTCCACTATGAGATGAATGCTTAGAATTGGCTGAATTCCTTTAAATAAAAGGTGTGGAAAGGAGGAGAGTGGATGTGGTTATGTTCATGAGAAAGATGAATTACGAGTCGCAATAATAGACTATATCTATGGCATTACTATTATTAGTATAATAATTTTGAAATTCAATTTAATTATAAAAAGGGCCTGGGCCAATCAATCAAATGGGTAAGTTAGTTAAAAGTGTATTAGGCTGTATGACTCAACATTCTTTCCAAAGAAAGATCTGTGGTCTAGCTAGCAGATCTTCAGGACAAACAAAGAAGACTATAGGTAAGATTTTAACAATAGGAAAAAAACTAAAAGCAATCACAATATGAGTGGAAAATTAAACAAATTTGAAGCAACATCTGATGGAAAAGCCCATGTAGCTAGTTCGCAAGGTATTTATCTGAGAAAATACTGTCATGGATTCAAGATTCTAATATGCCTGAAGATATTTTATTTTTTTATAGAATGTCTGTAAAGTGAAAGTGACAATACATTTTAACACTATTATCACTGTTAGCATGATACTAGCATAGCATGATTAGAATATCAGATACTCGCCATGGAATAGGGAATAGATTATGTAAATTCAGAGCCATAAATGACAAGTGACCACGAGCTCGAGAGTGGCACACTTCAGAGTAAAATTCTGACCATTGAAGAGTGAAATATTTTATGTTATTTTTTTGTTTGTTTTCTTAGAAAAAAAAGGTGGTAAATTCATAATTCAAATAAAGGTTTGAAAGGATGAAAGCTAATACATGGTTCTTATTTTTAAATAAGAGTAATTGTAAGTGATTTTAAATTTTAAAAGGTGTTCATTACTTATATTATTTTGGCAAGCAAAGTTTTAAAAACAGTTATAATATTGAGTTAAATTATATTAGTTAATTCTAAAGTAAAAAGACTAAACTTAATACCCTTAATAACCCAAAGGCTGAAACTAAATTATAAGTGAAAATGTTTTACAGATTGTAGGCGATATGATTAAAAACCAGCTACTGTACATGACTGAAAAATAATTAATACAATTTTTTGTCTCCTAAAAATATCATAGTGCTGAGGTCTTAGTTTTGAACAAAATCAAACCAAAAAAGGTAACCTGTTTACAACTGTGAGAAATCTTGTTACCTTAGTTACTGAAATGCCTAGTGAACCCAAAGCGAGCGTCTTTGAAGAATGGGTCACACAGTGAATCTAGTGGAAATACGCATCTAATGCTTTGGATAACACCCTGTAAAACTGAAGACAAATCTTAAAATATAAAAGAAGTAGATTCAATAAATTGAAATGAGAAATAACAAACTGTTAAAAGTATCAAGATTTATCTATGGACTGGTAAAGTCAAATGTGTTTCTTAAACATACACTGTAGTACTTCTTTATGTACTGTAAATAATCTTCTGGGTACTTTGGATTAAAATCAAGTATACTTCTACATATTTTATAGGGATTACTGCCATATACCTAGTTGCAGAGCTTTGCAAATATTATTTATTCATAATGTGATAATATTATCCCTAATGAAATTCTATATCATGTAATAAGTATAGTAATCCTCTTAAACAGTGTACCTAATAAGAATATGTTGTTCTTACAGTGTTTCCTCAGTGAGAAATCCATGCATTAACCTATTTTTCAGAAAGTTTTCTTATTATTCTGGTAAAACACAAACATGCAAATATTGTATATTTTACATGAAATAGATGGAGTGAGCATTATACATTCTGTTACTGTAGGTTTTAAAATCAAAATAGAAAGAAAATGGAAGTAAGAAAAGAACCAAGAAAAATACAATTATTTGTGTAAGGCTAAAATATACAGTATATACACTGCCTTGCAAAAGTATTAATATCCCTTGCACAGTTTTAACTTTTTGTTGCTTTAAAGCTTGCAGTCATAATATTTTAAAGTAATTATTTGTTACACAAACCACCTACTCCCCACAAAATGAAAAATAAAGTAAATAATAAGAGAAAGATGGAAAAGTCATGATTACATAATATGCATACCCTTTGCCATATTTGGGAGAGTTTGAGCAAATCTGCCAAGATGATTGGGCAGAAATTGCACCAAGGCACCATGAAAAACTGGTAGAGATTTACCAAAAAGACTTGTATTTGTAATTCCTGCTATTTCCACCAGATATTGAATTCACAGGTCTGAATACTAATACAAATAACATCCAATATTTCAGTTTCTTTTTCTCATTGGTTTTGGCAGACATTGACTGTAACTTACCCTACATTTAGAAGTCGTCGGTTTGAGCATTCAGGTTTAAAAAAAAAAATACTTTTATAAATGTGTGTGAATCATTTGGTCATTTTACCAAATGAGGATGTATAGAAAGGATTCTAATACTTTTGCAAGATACTGTATTAATTCTGGGGAATCACTGTCTAGTAAATAGAATATTGAAAAAAATGCCTGGTAAGCATATTCTTCCTGTATAGTGACATAAACATTGATAGGAGTTTAGCAGATATTGCATATACAGTTTAATAAAAATCAGCAGGAGGATTGCCAGTAATATTTTAAGTATCAGAAATTATTGTTTTTGAAAGTTAATAAAGCTTAAAGGGTTCATATAAAATCCCATAGGTTTATATGTAAACTTATCAGCATGTCCATGTATTTTAATGTCCCCCTTTTTAATTATATAATTGTAACCTGTAGTTCAAGTTTTGGTGAATAATCCAGAACAGCTGTTCATGTAAAAGATTATCTGGCAATTAGCCTGAACTGAAATGCTCCACGTGACCTATAAAATGTAGTTCTGCTTCTGAACAAACCACATTTAAAATTATGCCTGGAAATAAACCTATATTGCAGAATTAAGAAAAAAAATGTTTTGTTTTCAATCTTGAAAAATATTTAATCTTAAATGTTCTATTAATTATGAAAAAAAAACACATTGCTTTGACTCGGGTCCAATATACAGTATCACTTACAGAATCTAAGTAACATACTGAAGAAAATGAGTAATAGTAAGGAATACAATACCCCTGCACCTCCTCTAGACCCCCAGTGACACAGGGATAGTAACTCACTTGCTCTAAGATGAATCAGCCCTCGGAGAGTCCTTACACTCATATTCCCTTTCCTCCCTGCGAGTACTATGGAACTGAAGTGACAGCAGTCTGCAGCAGACATACTGTACGGCCTGAACTAAAACATACACAGGAAAATGAAACAGGAAACAGAACATTTGTAAATATCAGGTGTCAGTCTCAGTCACCAATTACTGATTAATAATTATTTAATGGTTATTTAATAATTTAACTATGATGATGATGATGATGATGATGATGATGATGATTTATTTATTTATTTATTCATTTATTTATTTATGTGTGCTATGCATCATTTTAAATTAGGTTTTACTCCAGGGGCTGTATTGGCCTACATAAATACATTCAATTTAAGTCCCCATAGAGTGTTTTACAAATGAACAAATGAACAGATCTTTCAAAATTTTAAAGCAAACAACAGTATTTTTTTTTACATAAACCAATGGGAGTTATATGAGCCATTTAAAATTATTCTCTTACTGCAATCTGATAAAACATCAAAAACGTTGTTCATTTCAAGATTTTTACTGCACTTGCCTTCCTCTAAACTCACTCATAACTTTGACTGGGTGAATTTTCTTTTTGGTGGAGCCTTTCCTGACAACTGCATAAGCTTCTTCTGGTTTCTCTTTTTTTATTAAAGGCTTCTTTTCAGGGGCTTTCATTCTCCACATGACCACAGGGTGCCGGGGCCCAGTGGGGCTGTGAATACGTATTATTTTTGTAGACGCTATGTAGGACATCTTTACAGTCTGGACCACAGCATTCATAAGGTTTTTGGCAGCTTGAATGAGGGATGTAACACTGTCGAGCTGCAAAAGCAAAGAAACAGCTTTATGACTTGCAAAGCAACACATGAAACAATCACAAAAAAATCTGTAGCAAGAAAAGAAAGACTACCTCTATGTTGAATGACTTGTTATGTTCAGTGCAGATGAGTGAAACTATGCCATTTTTTTAACAGAGGGTGCTCGTACAAGCAAGGAGTGTGTTTGTAATGTAAACCTTGAACCCATAGTGCTATAGCAGCTAAATAAAGCAATACCACAACATACTGTATCAATAAACATTTCTGTTTTCTGTTTTTTCGAGGAATGTAAAATAAATGAGTTAATATTTTGTTAATGTGATATACAGCAAATGCATTTAGTGCATTAGTGTAGCAATATTGCAGTTTCACATGTGTTCAAAGAAATTTGTTGCAAATACAGTCAACCTCAAATAATAAATCACCTCAAGGGCAACAATATAAATGATGGACTGTCTAGATGAGTTATTCAGAGGGTAGGATATAGGCACATATTGTCACAGGAGACCTTAAATGACTTTTATCTTAATGCTTTAAATAAAATAACAGTCAAGATGTAGATCTGAGTATCCTAACTTTTAAAATGATGTACCTGTATCATAGAATTTTACTATTGCAAGTCTGAGAAACGGACACGGACACCCCCCACCAAGGTACAGTATACAGTATGATGGTAGTCAAGTCCACAAAGAAAATTTTAAGAAGTTTTAAATATAATCTGAATCTAAGAATGAGGAAATGAGAAGAAGTGCATTTTGTAAACTGCTTACATTAATGGAATACTGTAACAGAGGGAACGACAGCCTTTCAGAACTGGCTAGCCAAGGGTTAACCTCTTATTCACTTCTTTTTACAGATCAGATCAGCCATCAATACTATTCGACATAATAATTTTCCTACTTACACTTTAGCAGCTTGATTAAAAAAATAATAATATGATGTTTAAAGTGATTCTTGTCCTTACTGAGCAGTCCAGTTTCAGGCTTGTAGTTTGATACTTTATGCAGCACACAAACCTCCAAGTGTTCTGTTGTTAACCTGCTCTGCAATAGACAACTGACTTCATATGTGAAAACCTCACAGAGATATGTATACCCAGTTGCTAAAGGCAGTGAAAACATTACATTCTTCAGTCAAATTCCACAGGCAGGGACTTCTAACTGGCCATAAAAGAGACTCTGTGATTCTCTCTGACACCAAGAGTGTGAGCTACAGAACTTAGGTTCGAGGTGCTTAATTTGTAAATTAGATGATGCTGGAGCTCAATGTTAAAAAGGAGAGAGTGGATGTAAAAGGGGGAAATGGAGATACATGTTAACATGCAGTATATGCAGTAAGTAACTTAGTAACATTAGTCATTATAAATGCTATAATCATATGCTATTAAGCCTATTATATTTTTGAAACACTAGATACACTCTCTGATGTACCTAACATCAGGTCTGTAGTATTTCAGAATCTGACTGGTTGATCCCCCACTAGCCTATACTATACAGTATACAGATACAGCAGCTTAGAATGTGCGGCACAAAGAACTCAGGATTTGGTGCAGCACACGTTATATACTGTAAGTGACGTCAACCCGTTGAAATTGAAAGCCACACGCTGTAGAATTCTTCAGCAGCAAAGGAGTTTGGTACTGTCTAGGGAATGGCATTATGTCTACTCATAGCCACATGTGTTACATACTGTGTAGAGCTCATGGGTGTCAACATTTTTAGGATGCAATTCTTGTCTTTTTCATTATTTTCATGAAATGACAATTTAAACACCTCTTCCTTTTAAAAATGTATGTGCAAGGGAGTATTGTGTGTAACATGATCAAAGCCATTTCTTTGTTCAAACTCATTTAGTATTAGCCTGATTTTAGGAGAGCACTGTACTATTTTCTCTAAAGATACTCTCCTCATGAGAAAATGTGTTGTTAAATTCTTAAGCATGAAACATCAGAATGTAAAATCAGTCCAATATCAAATCCTTTTTAAATACCCAAAATTTAACGTCCAAAACCAAGCAGGTTTAAGATCTTTAGCCTCTTTTGAAGCTTGTAAAGTTTTATGCTTGTCTCACATCCATTTTACCGCTTCTCTTCTACACCCATTAAAGTCACTGTTGCAATGTTAACTAGAAGCATTCACAGTTCCAGCAATGCAGCAAACTATGTGGCACTGAATCTTATTTTTTTTCAGTTCAAGTATTTTCAAATTTGTAAATATGCATGTTTATTTTTTCATGTCACAGGGAAGAACCAGTACTGTGCTTAGAGGACCCCAAGCATGAAAAGTGTACAATTCAAAGGTGCTGGAGATGAACTCTGTTGAGCTCCATAACAGATTAGGCCCAGTTCAAGGCCAATAAGTCTCAGCATTCTAATTCATTCAATTCTAATGCATTGAACCGATCACAATACAGTCACATCCATTTCACTAGTATCAAAGTTGTCTTGCTTGATTAGAAAAGAAAACATTGGGCCAAAATTTTGGAAATCTTGAAGTCTAACAGAAAATTCTGATATGAACTTTTGCTGGTCCTGTACATTCTGGACTCTGCAACACTGACAATGAAATCATTCGATAACTCTTTAAGAAGCTAAAGGTTTCTTAAAGGGCAAAACGTTGATCTAGAGAAAATCCAGTTTCACAAGAAATGTCTTCAATGTTTTAAAAAGACCCATTGCTGTTTGGCCTGCATCTTGGAGGTTTATTTCATTAAGATGTGTGGTGGTCAGTTAGAAACTTGATGTCAGTTGTGCTACCCATTTGTCATTATCCAGTTTGGTTGCCTCCAGACCATCCACAAAGCTTAGCTAATGAATATTGCTGTGAACCTCAGCGTCATTGTATTTATCATTCATCTCTTCAAGTAGATTGAAATTGCCAGTGTGTAAAGTCAGATTGAGAAAAAAAAACAAATTCACTGTCTTTCCTATTGTATTTGTCAAATTATTAAGCTCAGAATTAGAAATATTGCCTCAAATATTTGCTTGATAAATAATACAATGGAAATTTACAGTCTGGTGGCCAATTTCGATCCTCAACAATCTGTTACAAATTGTTTCCTGACAATACGGGCTATGTTGAAATAATCTATATTTGGTTCTACAAGAGGGAGCATTTATCTAAATTTTAAAAATAAGCTTTTTTTAAAATGAAAATGTATCTAACGATTTTGTCAAGGATGTCTGACTCTGCACTTAAATGTAAAAAAATGTGATCAGTGACACTCATTGCAAGCTCTTCTGGAAACCAAAATAGGATGGCCCCAATAAAATTGAAGTAGTAAATAACCAAATTGAATTATTTTTCTTCTATGTCATTGCTTACATTTGTAATTCGTTTTCAAAATTAGCATCTGTTTTTCAATTTCTGATTTAATGCATCTTATTTTTAGGCTATTAGGCCAATGGTGTATAGACTTTCTCTAGGGATTATACAGTATATACTGTGGGTATTTACATATAAAAAGGGACCGATATAACCCACTAATAAAACTTGATGACACACAATAGCCATCATGATCCAGGAGCCCCACTATAAAGCAGATCAAGTGAAGAAGGCAAAAATAATCTTCACCAATTCAATTAAGGTGGAGCTTTAGAAAGGCCAGACTGCAAGCATAGGGTATAATTTCTCCAGGACACCAGGGTTAACAACCCCAATGTAATGAGCAATGCCTTGATTTTCCCTGAAGACTTTCCATCCCAATACTTATCAGGCACAACCTTATTTAACAACTGAGATCTGATGAGCTCAGGGTACAGTACATAATCATTTCATTTGATATAAAGATGAATACTGTTATTGATTGGGTTTTGTTTTGCATAGTTATTTAATATTACTTATAATATTTAAGGTAACATTTTCTTGCATAGTTTACTTTTGAGTTTTAATTTAATTTTTTCATGGTTAAATATATTGCCTAGCACTCACCATTTTGTTTAGAAGAACAATGAAGCATCACATTTAATAAAAGTATAGACAGTTTTACTCACTGCTGAAGTAATGAGCTCTCCTCCAAGACTCTGAATCTCTGATTTCACCTGACTGCAGATCTTCAGCTGATGTGAGTAAAGTTTGATTTGTTCCAGGTAAGCCAGCAAATCATGTTTGCAAGATGGATCAGGGCACTGCATCAGATGGAGAATCAATTTGTAAAGATGATTATTTTCTCCTCAGTTGTTTCTCTTTTTTCTTTTAACATTTACTGTATATAAAGAATTTAAATAATTGTGTTTGATTTTACAATTGGAAGAGATTGTAAAGTTATATACCTTTGATAAAGCAAAAATCATTTTTTCAGTATATACTGTACTGTTCTGTAGTAAACACCATTTTTAACTAACTGAAAAATATGCATACAAACAACTTTCTATATTAAGCAGTTTCATCTCTGGTAATATAAATATTTGCAATTACTGATAAATTAATAAATTGATGAATTAAGGAGGTCAAATTTACACTTGATGATTTTGCCCATGTGAAATTTAGAAAGTACAGTATGACTTAAAAGGCTGTAAAGGCACTGATAAGAATGATTGAAAATCCTTACAAAAACTGTTAAATAAAACAAACAAAGAAGAGTTATGTACTGTAGCATCAGGCACAAAACAAAATGAAAGGTTATTGTAATATGTTCATTAACAGAAAATGCTTTGGAATAATACTACTTTGGATTATAAATACTGCACAATCGGGCTCAATCTCAGTGAAAAATATTTACATTACCTAGTAACAGAACAGTAGCACAACAGATCAATACAATTAATTCTGCTGCAAATTTAGTTAATACATTCACTGGTCTGTTTGATTTGATCATTTGTACTGATAATTAAATAAATGTATACACGCAGGTCTTTTCTAGATTAGATATTTCACAAGTCATGAATTTCTGCAAGAAATACGTTCTAAGGTTAAATAATAAGAAGAATAATTATGCTAAACATTTATTTTTTATTATTGGTAAATTGATAGACGAAGAGTTCATAATATGGTTTGTCATTATGCATGCAACAATACTAAATGTATCAGTTTTATTAGCATCAGATAGAACAAGGGCCTTAACAGGGTAAGATAAAAAAGATACCTTTGTAATGTTTCCACACACCATTAAAATGACAATTCATTGTAATAAATATCACCAGGGTTTCTAACTTATGGTTATTTACAAAACAAAAATAAAATAAATCAGCACTGGAAATAACACTGAAACTTTGCACAGCTGTTGATGAGAGCCAATAGATATAACCTCATTCTCATAATTACTGCAGAAGGTTCTGTTGCATCCATATTGAAATATCTTCATATTTTGTATTAGATGGAAAATTCTAAAATGCTGAAACTACAGCAATAGAATCTGAATTTGGTCTATAAGTAAATATGAATGTCATCATCATAACAATCAAACACAAATCCATGATGACAAGCAATATGGCTAATGGTCAAAAGCATATATATAAAATAGCAGAAGTCTCAAGGTACAACCTTATAACTGAGTAACTCGGACAACATCATATTTAAAACAGACAGTATTTATGAACTGGCTCCTATGAAAAAAAGAAAAGTCAAAAGATTAATAAAATTAAAGATTAATAGTTCCTATAATTGTAGATAAACTCCAGTGTGAAGCCTATACTACCACTATCTTAATTCATGCAGAATTCTATATTTATTTCAAACATAATGCATGTTTGCTACATTGAAATGTGCAGTCTTATAACGGTAAATGGTCACAGTATCATGCTGTAAAGTATTGCAATATATCAGTATTTTTTTGTATTGTCTCACCCAAACTCTAATGTGCAAAAGTGTTGTAGAAAGTTAATTTTAAAAAGTAATACATTATAGGTACAACCAACTATTGTAAGGGACTACTTTTTAAAATTTACAAGATGGTAAATAATAAGGAAATTAATTTAAAAATCATCAGTTATCTATGTAGTGTGTACAGATACTCTGCCAACAACTTCTTAAGAATTTAACATACAGATCCAGGCATACAGATCAAAATGCACACAGTACGCTGCATTAAAATGCAGTATGTGTGGCTCATCATACTGCATCATACTGCATGTTAACTGAAAATTGATAATAGTATCCAGAAGTACCTTGTAAAACCGCAAGGTGGAGCTAATAAAGCTTAACATCTCATATACAGCATTTGAGCTGTTGCCAGAAAATGCCTGGTTTCGAATCCCAGTCACTGATGTGGGACAATCTTTTTACAATTAAGAATTTAAATTGTATACTCTTTAGATTTCTAATAATTTTAAACTGTGTATTACAGCATATTAATCATTAAACATTAAAATGTCTGTATATTTTATAAAAGCAAGATTGCTCAATGAGACAAAAGTACACAACCTTCCACCTTCATCAAAAATATTGTAATTATGCATTAATATTTTCTGCATCAAAGTCTTTAACTTGGTAACTTACATGGGTTCTGTTTTTAATGTGCTTGTTCTAACATTATTAAACTTATATTCTATACTTCATAAAAAGTTATAACCTTTTATCCTTTTCTAAGAATAAGTAGTAAGAACACCACTTGCTGTTACTATAAAAGATAAATGTTGTAGTGATTTAACATCACTTCATAGTTATATTAATATGGAATTGTGTAACTAAGCATCTAAAGTATCACATTTTGACATTCGTTTCTTTAAAAAAAAACACTTCTATTGTTCTTGTAGTGGTAATGAGCCCCATAATGCAGCGAGCTGCACCCAGTTGGTTCAAAGCTCGATCAGAGCCAAATGCATAAAAATAGTCCACTATTATAGCTTATTGTGAACATGATGTGTCTCTTTAAGGTTTACACATGAATTGAGAAAATCTGTATTTTGTCTTAATCCAAATGTCAACAGCCGGTAATTTGCCAACAATTTAACTTTGAATTAAAAATAAAGTTTAAACTGTACTATATAGTACACGGACAGGAATTGAACCTGGTCCGTCAGCAACATTCAACAGGGAACAGGTGGATGAATTATTGTAAAGGATATGGCCAACTTTACAGGTTGTGTAAACGCCAATGTAAACTTCATATTTACAATTTACAATTTTAAAAGTTCTTTAAAGCTTTCTCAGTCAAGAACGATAATTCACATAGGGACCTGTGTAAGCAAGCGTAGGCAGCAAAAGATCAGCTAAAGAGGGAAGAAAATGCTTTCAGAGAAAACAATGTTTCAGGTGTGAAGAATACAGAGCCCCAATTCAATTGCAGCCTAAACCTTTCCCCACATACCCTGCCCCCGCTGCGATTGGAATATACACAAACAAAGCACTGAAAACTTTATAGTAGATGATCAAGTGTTTCGCAGACATAGGGCTGGTACGTATTTCTGGCTTTGTGTGCTCACACCTGGGACTCGATTACTTCAAAATATATATATTTTTAATTGCACGTGGTTCTAGACCTTCTTTATATTAAAGTTATATCACTGGGCATCGTTGGATGGTTATCAGCAACCTCCTAATCTGCTTAACACCTGTAGAAAACATGACTATTTCTGTATGGAATGCATGTTGCGTTTATAAAATTAAAGTGTTTAAAATGTTTAATTAAGAAGTATAAAGAAATTACACCTTACACTGTAAGCTTAGACTTAGACTCGAAACTGGTCGCGCGGAAGAAAAACCACCCATTTTTCGTGCATTAAAAAGTGTTTTTAACTGATTTATATACAGTCTTTTCATGTTGATTTAAGTGTCCTTCTTTCAGTTGGATTGCATGGTTATTGTTACGATTTCTCTATTATTATTGAATCAATCAACTCGTTCACTTGTGATTATTTTGGAAATATTTTGACATGCTCCTTTTAACTCGGAGTTTGTAAAATCAGGCGCTCTGAACGAGTTAAGCTTTGATGCAGTACAAATAAATGTATTTCCCACAAGCTATACTGTAGTGGCTTTAAAACTATACAACATCACACTGTATGCATGTGGCAAGTAAAATGCATGTGGCACTTAAAAATGTTTCTAAAGTAATCATTCATGAAGAAATCAAATTAAAAATAAAACGTGTTTACAAAGAAAGTGGATTACAGTAATACTACCAGCTATATAAATGCATATATTTAGATCCTTAAATTAATATCATTATTAATTTCTTTAGATAAGTGATACCATATTATATTCCCTATTTAGCAGATTCTAAAAAGTATGAGGCTTTTTACTGCGATAATGAGCGCAAGTATTCATAGAAAAGGTTAATCACTTAACTTTGAACATGTGATATTTAGAAAAACCAACACATTCAATATAGAGTCTATAATATTTACTATTTTAGTTTTTCAAAGAAATGTTTTTTTGTTAAAAGAATGCTCATGATGAGAGCTGGGTTCAAACCCCAGACCTTCACCATGCAAGTCAGATGCCTAAGCCAGTACACCAACACGCCACTTGACAACTTAAGCTATAACTGAAAAGGGCAGGCAAAAAGTTTCCAAGTAACTGGGTGAATGAATCAAACTGATGCAGATGTGTGTACTGTGAAAGTGTACTACTGTAATAATTTGAGCTATATGAATATAATTACATCATAATTAATTTATTTAGATATGCGATTCCATATTATATTTCCTATTAATCAAATTCTAAAAAGTATGCATTTTTTACTGCGATAATGAGTGTAAGAATTAATAGAAAAGGGTAAACATTATAACTTTTTATGAAGTACAGTATATAAACTTAATCAAGTCAGAAGGAGCACACCAAAACTTTTCCAAAATAACCATAGTATGTAACTGAATGAAAGACTTTGATGCTTAAAATGTTTTTGAAGAAAGTGGAAAACTGGTGCATATTTGTTATTTAAACTACCAATACCAGTCATATACAGTTTACATATATGTGTATGTTCCTAGATTAATATCATTTATGACCTCCAGACATGTTATGCTCCTGTTCTTTTTATGATCAGCTATTAAAATTTCCCTTTAGTTGTAAAATTCCATATTAATATTCAATATCAAGCGGCTTTAAACATGCCCAGTAAAGACATTAAATGAAACAATCATTTCACTTACAACCAATGCACCACGAGTGCCGCCTGTCGGTCATTTTGGCCAACCAATCATGTACTGTGGTATGACGCGCTGAACTGTAGATAATTTTGAGCGGTACGGGGTTGTACCGTTCATTTTGAATGGCTGCATCTGTATATGTATGTAATGATAGGGTATAAATCAGGTGAAGAAGCTGGGAAAGAGTTTTTTATTTACTCTGTTCATGGATTAGAACATTTTGTTTGCAATTTGTCTTGAGCCTGAGTCTTCTTTACATTGGTTATGTGTGGTTACCGCCTAGTTGTACTGCATCCAAATGGCTTGTTAATTTGGTGCTAAACATAAGTCACTTACTATACATACAAAAAAAGTGGTGAAATTTGCAAAGTGGCAAAGTGGAAGTGCTCAGTGGTGGATACTGAGAAACAGACGCAATTCAAAAGGAGAGAGATGGTGTCAGATTATTAAGATTCTGTAGACTAATTTTGCCCACCTAATACCACTCCAACTGACAGCCCAGATAGCCTGAGATAGAATTTACTGCATCACATACTGTAGAGTATTAGCATGTGAAACACTCAATGGCACTTCTAGCACTTGGGAGCCAAAGACAGCCAACATTTTTCAGTCTTGACAGAGTGCTGATTTAAAATCTATAATAATACAACTTAGACATTAATGACAATTAAAATTAGAAGTGGCTGGCTGAAGCCAAAATTTAGAATTTTCGTTTTTTATTCATTGTATGAGGATATCAACACAGTTCAGAATGACCCAACATAATCTTTAAGGGAAAATGTGAACTTTTAAGTCTTAAACACTTAAGGTTTTATATTTTTATTACTAATTATTTCTCACCTGTAATGAACAATTTGAGCATAACTGTATGTACAATTAAAAAATCACAGAACTCAAAAGTGCAATCCTACTCAAAACAATCAAAATGTTATTATTTTGTTAGGCAATACAGTATGTTTCAGACTAACCTGGTTAGCAATCTGTCTCGCCAACACATCCATCCTACAGCCAGCCTCAGAAATCACCATGGCAGCATTGATTACATCTGATGTGTGCTTCAGTGGACCTTTACCTCTGTAAGTAATACATTGTAGTTAATGTACCATCAACTCATTTTCTTCAATAACATTTTTTAAAGCAGAGAACATAATGAAAGTTCTGTGTTACCAAGCATTCTGTCTCTCACTTCTTATTATGCTGACATTATCTTGTCGTCTTCCAGGATGCCTTAAATTGCCCAATGTCTTTGATTGTTTCAGTGTCTATGTCGATTAAAACAGGAAGTATAGTGGATGCCCAAACACATAGATTAAGACAACAAATCCTAGAAAATGATGGTCAAGAGGCCTTTGAATATATCCTAAAGCTGATAATACTTGGGAATTGTGGCTTGTTCTCTTCCCAGAGTTTCATTATTAATTCTATTTCTTTAGTCAACAAACTATTTTTGACAAATTCTATAGAGGACAGTTGCTTTTTTAAGACAAATGTTTTTTTTTCTGTTAACAGTAGAAGCACTAATCTTCAGAGCATGATGTTTTTTGACAAAGTTTGGAGATTTTGTTTCCCCTGAGACTTACAAAAGGCAACATATACGATTTATGTATCACATTAAATCCATTTCCAGAATTAGCAGAGGCTGCAAAACAGGTGACAGAGATTTACAATGCAGGACACCAATGAAGTTGCAAGGATAATAAATAAAAGCTTAGAAAATAGCTGATGGCACAGTTTTTAAGATGCACACCCCTCAACAAGAAGAGATCTATTACAGCATCATTTAAAAGCACTGTAATGCTCAGTTTGAGAGGGTGCACAACCTCCCATACACACTATAGTATCCACCTGTTTTAGTAGTCTGTAAATTAAAAATTACCACAAAACTATGAAGAACACTGGGCATCATTTCATCCAGAACTGAGATTGCCACTGTAAACTTCTACCTAGACTATATAATCTTATAAAAGCGTATGCCATATGCTTACGTGTATGTCTACATTAACTTTGCAATACGGAAGCAATAAAGCAGCAAGTCTAGAAAGAAGATGCACTTGAAATGAAAGGAGTGAATGGGATGGCAGAAGCCACAAAAGAGTGCCAGAAAATAGGTATATAGCACATGTAAATTAACACATTGTGCATGTTATGCAAAACAATGGTTCCCAAACTATTACTCCCAACCTACAGGTTGTAAACTACTACCGTAATCTGCTGAAAAAAAAGTGAGTCAGTTTTAAAGATAAAACCTGACTCATCTCTATAGAGGACTTGGCACCATTACTATCAAGTCTACCTGCTGTGTTGGTTCATCATACTGTACCAATGGCACAAAGGAATTGTTCTTTTGATATTTGTTTCTTTTTGCATTTTCTTTCTTGATTGTCACCAGGCTTGAAATTCAACAGGATAATGAGGTTAACACTTATTACCTGTGCCCATTCAGCTTTCTGTCAAATGAGGTGAATTAGTGCTTATGAAACAGTCAAAGTCACTCAAGTAAAAACGGTCAAAATGACATTAAGAACATTTAATCAAGGTATAATGTGGAGAGAGGAGGTGGGATGGCATCAAAATTCTGTATACTTTCTGTATTTCTGTAAAAACAAACCTGCATAGAGTGATACCTTTCTTTTCAGGATCAGTATATTGTATATTTACAATAGGGTTTCAACATCTGCAAATTAAACATTGTTTATTTGAGATTCAGTCTAACTAACAGGGTTTTGGGTGAAAGAAGTGCAGAGCTGCATGAAACCAAGCTGAAGCTTGTTAGCCACAACTTTCAAATTAGCAGCGCACCAGACTAGGATCATGAGACTAACGTAGCCTAGTGAGTGAGCCTTTCCCTACCGCCTGCCCAAGAAGCCACTACCCAGCATCCAGACCTCAACATGGTCTTGTTTTTATATAGTAATGGACACTCCAGGTTCTGTGTTGGCAGCTAGGGAATGACAGGCTGGATATGTCTTTAATAAGACTCACTGAAAATTTGGTGTTGCCCATTTCATTACACAGGAGTGTGCTAATCAAAAAGGGAGAGAAAGAGAAAAGGCGCAGGCTGGATGCAGAGAATGGAATCAATTTGTTTATTTTAATTGATTACTATAAAGGCGGACTTGGTTATTTGCCAAACTACCCCCAAGTGCTGCACTTTTAAGAAAAAGAGTAGTGTAGAAATGTATTTCTACTGTTACTTTACATCTCTGAATATATGAATGTTTTTTTTAGTTTTGGTTAATATAGTTAAAATGAATATATTAATTAATAAATAATAAATTAAAGTATAAAATTGGTAAAAAATCCCAGGATAACTATCTGATAACCTGTAGGTAGTGTTAAAGCTAAATGTACATTTACAGTACATAGCACATGGCAAAAACCCTGATGCCTTATGGTGGATTTGGCAGAAGCTTAGTACAGTTTACCCTAAATGCCAAACTAACACCATCTGCAAAAATCAGTTCCCAAGACTTATATTTACCCTTCAGATTTCCAAAGAAATTGAAATGTGTAATTAATCTATTCAAATTTGATTCATAAATAGAAAACAGATGGCAGATGGCTCCTTAATGATCAGATCTCCAGTCTCATAATGATCTCCTATGAATGATCACAGACTTGCACAATGAAACGTCACTTCTACACTTCAGAGAGCTTCTATTGCTTGTTTTGTATATTTTTTAGCATCAAAAAGGAAAATATGGAAGTTTTGCAGAAAGGTTTTCTATTATTTAAAATTTAGTCCAATTTAACTTCTAATCTTATATTGTGTGCTTTTATTCTACCTTAAAACTGGTACAATCAAAAAAGACATTGCATTAGTAAACTGATTATTAGCTTTCTTTTCAACACATTTATTTGTTATTCTAAATAATAATAATAATAATAATAACAATAATAATAAAAGTATTCACATGCTTAATCCTCAAATATAAAACTATCCTCAAATGGTAAACAATATATCCCAAGCCTGTGGAAATTCTTATGAAAATAAATCACAAGGATAATTCACACACAAAGATCTTTATTTAAGTTTGATTTTAAATAAGTATTTTTTAATGAAGAAGGAGGCAGAAAAGGTTTTAGATGTGCAGAAATGTTTCATAGCTCTTGCCTTTTTTAAACAATAAAGCTTAAAATTCAAGTCAAGTCTCATGAATACAGAAACTCCCAAAGAAGGATTATTTGATTTGCAAAGAGGTAACTTAATCCTCAAATAAAGAATAAGTGGTTATAAACGTTTAAATCAATAACTTTAAAACTAACAGAAGCAACTCAATAATATAACTACTGGTAGGTATAGAAAATATTGAATCCTATGCATAAATGTGAAGATGATTTCCACATAATGCTTGTACAGTATCTAATATTTGTAGATATATGTATTTCTGGTGATATACAGTATGTGAACAAAAGGCTATTAATATATCTTAACAAGCTTTTCATTTACAATGGCAGCAGCTGCTGACATTATGAACATTACTATAAGAAGGCACTTATAGTGTATATTCATTTCGTTTTGTGCAGTAAATGGAAGTGTTACAAAAATGCTTTGAGGCAACACAGTATGTATGCAAATCTTCAATAAATGAATTCCAATACAACTTCTGCTTCTAAACCAACCTTAAACCCTGTATTAAAAACTGTACAGTACTTGTTTTTCTGATTTTTAACAATATAACTAATGATTAATCTATATAAGCATATAGCATATATTGTGCTGTATTATACATTCAGTTTGAAAGGGACTCATCAGTCACACTACATCACAGCAAAATCCTTTCCTTTCACTATTAAAATAGTAAATCCTCTAGGAGGGAACTCCAACACCTCAAAAGACCTAATAAGACAAGGGGGTGCTGTTATGAAGAGTAGTTATTACTGTAGGTTATTAACAAAACTAAAGTTCCCATTTACCTGGTGAAGTCTGTCATCTCCATCATAATCATGCACATCTTCTTAGCAAGGACAATTATATCATTGCTTGTGTCATCCCAGATTTCAATTTCAGCATCCAGCTTACTCTTCACCTTTTTAAAATCTGCAACTTGTTCAGCTATCTTTATCTTTTCAGACTCTGGTAGTTGTGTCATCTTTGCCTGGGGAAGGAAAATGAAAACAGATACTGTCCTTGTCAGTAAAAACAGTTGACCATAAGAAAACATTTTTGATAGGTAGTATTTCTACAGTAAGTGGATAAGTTTCAGATAAGCTAAAAAGAAAATTATTCAGATATATAATGTTAATTATGTGAGAGTCTTGATGCTTGGAGGTAATTTAAGCAAAACAGAGAAAAAAAAACTAATAATGCTCCAAGCGCTCAGTCTGCATCAGATGAATAATTTTCAGTACTACAGAATTTGAAATGTTTGGCCAGAAGCACAAAAGTAGGTAGGTTGCCTTTCTTTTAAAGGCAGTAATGCAGTAATTCAGATTTTGACCAATGTATTATATACTCTGACATAAAAAACATAGAAATTCTTAACAGATTACTCAGGGATTTGAATACACTGTTTACATACATTCTAACAGTATGCTATAAACGGTGCAAAATGCAATGCTGAGTACTGTTAATAGATACAGGGTAGAGATAGAAGACAAATAAATTGAGCTAGTGGCACCAGAGACAAAGCAGACATGAAGCTGATATGAAATTCACAGAATTATGCTTCATAATCTATTAAATAGGCTTTTGCCATAATAATAAGATTTATTATCAGGTCTTCACCACATACCAAAGATATGCAATTGTCATATTTATACCAAATTCTTCATCTGTGGACAAATAAATGTATTATATTTCCACTTCTCATGTTTTGGGAAGCCATGTAAAAGTGTATATTCAGTATTTTGTATTTATTAATTAAGATATACTGTAGCTTCAGGGATCCTTACAAATTCAGACTGAGGCTGCTTAAAACTCAGCATAGACAGCGAGTGACTAGCTGTCATATTTATAATATTTTTGTACAGTATGAAAAATATACAGTATATGATACTGTACAGTAGATGCATATACTCTATACAGGCATATCCAAGTGGATAATAATTTACAGACACTCAGATATATTTTCACTGCCAGGCAGATACTGTATATAATGAGATGTATTACTGTACCATAGAGACCAAACTTGTTTATTTTCAGTACTGAAATATTATTCTAAACCTTGTGAGACCCGATAACAGCAAACATTGGGCGTAGCTTCACTAGATTCGTGGATCTACTAATTTTAGGCCTAGCATGATTATATTTAGTGCATGTTGTTCAATGATGGGCCTTTTTAATGTTGTTTCTCTTAACACCCAAACATGATTTTTATTTTTAGAGTAAAACAATTTATACTATTAGTTATAAAGATTTTTTAAAAGTTCTACATTTTTTACAATGTAAATTTTTTTAAATTTCCTCTATGTTCATAAATTTGACATAAAGCAGTAACACTGATATATACAGAATATACAGCATTGCTTAGGTTTTCTAAAACCAATAAACCTTGCTTATGTGTACTTTTTGGGCTTTTTTCCTAAGTAAGAATAAATAATAGTGAGAAAACAAAATGATCTCCTTACGTAAGTCAAAGATTTACAAATTTTGTCAATGTCACAATTTAATTTTGGCAAAAAAGATCCAAGTTTGAACACATCAGTGATGGGAGTTCTGCATTTGTACAGAAACTTTCCAGAACTTTTGTGTGTTCATATTCATTATTACAACTGTGGAGTGCAATCTTTCCAGAAAACTATGATTTTGTAGCAGATGAAAGTAAGCAGCATTCTGTTATGTTTTTTCCCAAATTTAAAGATTTGTTCTTGCTTGAGATAGCTGTGAAACACCTGTCATTTTAATAACTTCAGCTTTGCTTCAATTTCAGCTGTGCTGTATACCAGCTGTGAGGTTTCATAGCACAATTTTACCTCCTGTATAGAACCCTGCTGTCTTTATTAACACTAATCAATATGTATGACACAGTCTTCCCAGTTCAGATTATAACTTAATTAATGTTATTTTTTTATGAATCTAATAGTAATTGATAAGTTGCATCATTCTTAAAGTGATTAGGGAGAGATCTACTTACTTGGCACTTAGAACATTCCCATTGCAACTGCAAACGACTTTATAGTCTTTTATTTGTTAAGGTAAGGTAAAAAAAACATTTCAATGCGTGATTTTTTTTTTGTAATTTTCATTTTCTCAGAAATGATCATTTTCTTTACTGATATGTAAAAACACTGCATTCTGATACAGATGACAAGGAAAATATTAGGGATTCACCACATGCATTTCATGTGAATGTCTTTAGCAGATCAATATCATATCATACCATAAAAAACTGTCATTATGCTGTCATTAGGCTGACCCAACCATTGTTAGCATCTAACAGAATTGAAGGGTGATTAACTTGGTTGTGCTTTATTCTAATGACATGTAAAGGAAAGCATACTGCACATCAGTTTCCATTTTTACATTTAAACAAATACACTACATTGGTATGCAAATGCAATTACCCACTGACATCACAGCAGTAATTAAGTATGGTGTAAAAAAAGTACTGGGATTATTAAGATTAAAGTAACACACACTGCACACTTGGGAATAAAGCATTTCTTTTATGGGAAAAATACACAGGTCAAGCAATTAATAATAGTTCTAGGGGGTTATTCATAAATCATCTGTTTTGACATGGTGGCACATGCGGTTACCATCTTGTGGCATCCTTCTGATTCATAAATAGAGTTTACTGGCATAGCACCTGCATTACCGTGATGGAAGGTAATTCCATTAAAATACCACTTTCACCTCATTTGCATATATTGAAAGTGATTCATTAAAATGATGACTGTGAATTACGTTTACCAGCTTGGAAAAAAGCATATACCAAAGTTGCAAAGGAACAAGTAATAGGTTTATTCCATGCTGAAAAAAAGAAGAAAGAGAACACAACGTTTCGGCCGTGGAGCCTTCTTCAGGTGTCGCTACCCACCTGAACATATACCAAAGTTTTTGCCTATACTTTTAACTCCTGTCATCTTATAAACTTGATAATGGGAAAAGTTATACAGTATGGTGTTTGTCCATTTTTGAATGATAGATGATTGACATGTCTGATATAATCATGGCATGTTTTACATACTGTATGTTAACTTAAAATGTATATATATGTATAATATGTATATATGTATATATGTATGTTACATTGCATCAATTTGCATTTGTGACAGTAATGTAGGTACAAATCAATTAGCATAGTTTGCATTCAGGACATTTATCAAATCAATCAATTTTATTTTGCTAGGTCAACACTGGATAGTCGAAAATAGCTATTTTTCAGTTTTAGTCAGGACAAAAACAAACAAAATAACTTTATTTTGTTAACAGGAGCTGAAAAGAAAGAAAAAAACAAATCCTTGCGCTTGGCCAATTACTTTTGTTACTATGGGATGTCTCTTTGCTACTAAGATAAGCCTTTTGTCAATGTGTATTCCCTTATTTTACCAGGTAAAACAATTGAGAATAAATTCTCAATGAAAGATTATGTAAGATGTTACATTTACATTGTTTTTCCACTATGATTTATTCATCTGTTGTTCATGTAGTTACCGCTTTGTGATTATACTTGAAAAATTATAATGTAACTTGTGAATGGACATTTTTACACAAAGTGTAATTTGTCTGGAACAAGCTGACCAGTCACATCGTCAGTCAGAGCTGGTAGTCTTCAATCAAATAACTACTAAGTAACTAAATGAGTAAGACGAGCAGAATGCCCCCCTCTTTTTTGGAACCTCTTATTTTATTTAGATTAACATTTGGATAGATTTTCCATGGCTTTTTTCACAAAAGAGCATTAATATGAGAGATATTTTCAAATATACACTAATGTCAATTTCATTGTGTAATTAAATAAAAGTGCAACACAAGACAACATTTGCTTTTGCATTATGAGTTGTTCATAATCAGGATGAGCAACTGCACTACTGTAATGTGGTGGTAAGTGATTTTATCTTCAATATGTGAAGATAATAATTTACTGTATGTGTTCTCTATCATGCTCTATATAATTATATACAGACAGAGACATTTTAAAGATGCGAATGATTTAATTTCCAATCACAGCAGGAGAAATCAATGATAAAAGGGTTTGTATATTCCAGTGCTTTAACAATTAATTATGTGTATTAAGTAGTTCATTCATCCTGCATTTTATCAAGACAAGATGACAGCTTAACTTTGAATCTTTGTTTACAAATTTTGATACACTTTTAGTTAAGCAAAAAATTCTTAAGAATATGTTTAGAACCAAGTGGCAAAGGTAAAGATGGTAAAGATTTTTAGAAAGCAGCCTAGCAACTGTACATTATTAATGCTTTGGCTTATTGTATGGGAAGTTAAATTACTGTTACTATATTTATTAATAATCATTTGCTGACTATTTTGTTCTGATTACCTTATCTCATAAAAAGGTGATCTGGGGGTGTTTCTTTCTTGTCGATGGTGTAAGCATGGGTTTTGTGCTTCATGGTTTCCCTCCTGCACATAATGTTTGACACCTGCCATTAACCTTTTATCAACAGGTTGTTTGGGCTCTGTCATCCTGGGGTACATTTATTTTGTCCCTCCAACTCTTAATATCTATGCTTTGAAACCTGTATATCTATCTTCAACTAGCATGACATCCGAGTTCACTCTCCACATGCTGAACTTAGTTTCACTCTCTTTAGTAAGGTGCAGTTCAAGAGGCTTGGTTTTCTTGCTTTCTTATTAGGTTGTCTGTCTCGCTACCAGCTTGTACTTTGATCAATGGGATTTATACTGGACAGGACTCAAATCCATTGCTGAAGAGTCCACCTAAGCTGACTTTGTCCAGCTTCCAACATGATCAACTAATACTAACTGATTAGTGATCATACTAATCAAGTACAGGAGGATTAGTAAAAAGTGGAGAAACAGCACATGAAGGTTTTACATAAATATTTGTCTGATTTCATTTACTATAGAGAAGTGTATGACTTTACATGCAGGTAGCAAAAACAAACTAAAGCAAAAAGATCAAACACTTTTTAGATATTTCCTGGGACAGTGTTTCCTCTTAGTCTTTATTTTAAACTGCCCTGTATTATACTGTAACGTCCTTAATGTTTTCATCCATGGAAGTAAAATTAGCCACAGTATTACCATATGTTGATGCTGTACAGCACAGTTTGTAATTCACAATTAACAAAACACATTATTATTAACAATAACACAAAAAACCTGCAGAGATGAGTCGTTCCCTACTGAAATTTGAGGAATACATCTATGCCTACACCCTAAGCCATAGACATTGGGATCATAGAAAAATGTTCTGTTGGCTTTCATAAAATATAGATTTGACTTTAAAATATATTGTAAATAATTAACATTGACATGATTGATAAGGCCTCTTGATTTCAATTCAGGTTGCTGAACCATAATTGATACTCATTTTAATGTATATTTGTATTTTGGGAAACTATCCATCATTTATTCTAAATATTTGAGAGCACTGTAAATTGATTAGTGATGGTACCCTGACTATATATGCAACATATCCTCCACTTGTTTGCCAATCATCTGACCAATTGGGGATTATTTGGAAAACAAATACCGGACACTGAAGGATTAACCTGAGGATTCTGCATTGAAAAGTAATTCATTTCTCCTCCACTTATATCTGAAATCAGAGATTCTAATGTTATTATTTTTAACTGATATATAATCCTGCTCCACAGAAAATTCACTGTTTATAGAAAAAGATATTCACAATTAGGGCTGTACAGCGGCACTGTGTTTAGCATTGCTACCTCACAGCCCTAGAGCCCTGGGTTCAATTCTGGACCATATGGGTTTTCTCCCGGTGCTCCAGTTTCTGCCCACAGTCCAAGAAATACAGAGATTAATTGGATTCTGGAAAAACTGGCCCAGGTGTAAGGTTGTGACTGTGTTGGTAATTGTGTGTCCTGCGATGGACTGATGTTCCACCCAAGCTGTATCCAGCCTTAAGTCTGTTGCCTGCCAAAATAGGTTCCAACTCCCCAGCGACTTAAATTGAAGTGGTTAGAAAACTGATAAATCTACATTTACCATTATGTAATATACTGTATTATGCACAATCAGTGTGTTCATTTACTATGATTGGAAAGAAGGGCTTTTTACTGAAATGCTGACTGCATAGGCACTAATTCTTTAGGTATTAGACTACCATTGTACTTTTCTCTCAGGGTCAGACATATTTTGTAACTACACATATTACAATGTGTATAGAAATATAATACTTTATCATTGATTTGGCAAATATTGCATTAAAGTTAAGTTTTCTGGTAATTACTTTACAATATTATCCCTATTCAATCATATTCAGTTTATTTACAATTTTTACACTAGTTTGAGGACATGTAACCTCAGTAAAGCATTCAACCCATTCATTCATTTTCTAATCACTTTATCAAATAGAGGGTCATGGAGGAGCTAGAGCCAATCCCAGCAAGCAATGGGTACATAGCAGGATATACCCTGGATGGCACACCAGTCCCCACAGGGCTCACACAGACACATATACGCTTCTGCTAGCAGCAACCTTCTAGCCACAGGTGCAGATCCTTAGCAACAGTGCCACCGCTCCGTCCTAAACCCTCTCCCAGTCTCCCACATTACTGTAACCCTTACTCCACTGGGCCACCTAAGACATCTGATTATCTATTGTTTATTTATCTTTTATGGAGTATATGCCTAGTCTGAATGTTTGGGGAGAAAATAAAATGTTAGAGCATAAAGTTTAAATTCAAGAAAACCTTTTGACCCAAACTGATGTTCTAGCTCATAGTTTCTTACAATATAACAATCATATGCGAAAGGCTCATTAAAGCCCCAAAACAAATAGCACCTGGAGTGTGACCTATAAACCCAATCCATAAATACACTCTTCTCAATGCAACAAATTGCCTCCCATAGTCCATGCAAAGACTGCTAGCTGGCACAATAGTTCACAATTTATATTGAACTTTATGCAAATAATTTGAGAAGAATCGCATTAGAAGGGCAGCACATATATGATATGTTAACCTTAGCCTTATTCCAGTCTTAATCTTTGTGAAAACACTCATCTCCTGGTCTAAGACAATCTACGCACATATGACACTTTACATTAAACAGTCCTATCAATCTTCTCTTTATGTATACTGAAGATATCTTACCCTGTCTGTTTTTCCATCTGTCTGGACACTAGTGCGGCTGCGACTTTCATATTCCTCTTCTAAATCAGACAGGTCTTCTAGTTCTTCTGGGGTCTGTAAAAAAAAATGGATGTTTTGTTTTATAAAACAAACGACCTTTTGCCATAGTTTTTATACTGAGATTGCGGTAGAGAAATGTGACATAAAAAAACTGATTTATAACCAAATATAACCTTGGAATAACAAACAATGCATTTTAATATTATGTCTTTCTCAAACTCTCCTTTTTATTTTTCTTAGTAAGGCCATTGCATTCGAGCCAAAAATATCATGCCAGAGCAAAGAATTGAAAATCCTTATTTTTTTATTTAACCAATGCTTTTTTAATATGGTTGCTATAACATTCAGTATGTACTTAGGCTGCAAATCACAGTGGTCATCTTCATGATTTGATTGAACAATTACTTAGACTTCTATAAATTATTTTAATTCTTCCGTATATGGAAGTACTGTATACAATACCTCCACCACAAGCAATATAGCAATACAAATCACTGTTTTCTAAGGAAATAAATTGTTCATTATCAAAAATACATTGATCCATCAATTTTCTAACTGCTTCATCCAATATAGGGTAGTAGGAGAGCCATAGCCTAATTGGCAAGGCAGGATACACTGGACCCATCAAAGGACAGACACACAAAGATAAACACAGACACACACACCAAGGTCAATTTTCCCTGAAGGCAATTGACTTTTCAGTATGTCTTTGGACTGTGGGAGGAACCAGCAAAACGGGGAGGAAACCAACAGAAACATGAGGTAGCAAACCTCAAGCAGACAACACCCCAGGTCCAGAATTGAAGCCAGAGTCCCAGTGCTCCGAGGCAGTAATGCTAACCACTGCACGACCATGCAGTCCATTTTTCAGAAACATAAAAAGCGAAACTTAAACTTTCCATAAAGAAACATTTATTCTGATGCTATTTTCAGTGATGACAGCTATAGCATTAAATACACTTAATGTAGATTCATTGTGATTACATATACAGTACTGTATATTAGCTGTAATGCCTATGGTAAATTAGAGAGTTCGCAACTGTTCACAAGGTCCTAAATTTAAATGGGCTTAAACAAATTTCAATTCAATTTAGATTCTCCTCCATTTCATCAGACAGCTAAAGTACTGTATATTAAAACATCTCCACAAGGAAGAAAAGCCGTAATTAGAGGCTTCTATTTGTTGGACTTACAGTAGATGTTAATGCTGCAGTTTTTGAACCCTGTGTCCTTGTATAATGGTTCTCTTTACCTGCACAAGCAAGTAATGCATTAACCTGTGGATTTAGAGTCAAGCCATTCACTTCACTTTCTTCTCACCACTGTTTGGCCTTATATTGTCTCGAGGGAAGAATTTTCATCACTTTGTGATATGACAGCTTCTGTCTGTAATGTGGTTTGGGATTTCAATAAGCAAAAGTAAAGGGGCACCTGTAGTGGCATTCTAAACTGTTTCCCTCATTTCCTTGATTTGTTTACAACATCTCATTTATTATGAAGGTTGGAGAGGACAGAAATTTGCTTTCCTGCTAATGCACATCATTTTTTATAGGGTTGCCACAATAGTTTTTTTCTCTTGATTTGTCCCAACAAAAATATTTGCTAGAGAGCATATCAACTACTTTTCTTTCTTTGTTCACGGATGAATGATTTTAAATTAATGTACATCTTTAGAGAAATTTGTGACACACTGCTTTGTGTTGTAAATGTTTCCCTTTTGTGATATTTTTCTTGATGCAATACCTGTTTCAGCCAATGCAATTATTCTTTGTCTTTGTAACTACCATATCTACCATTATCTTAGGGACTAGAGAAACAAAGAGATAACCTTTCAGAACTATACCAGAAATGTTTCAATCAAAACAAGATCAGTAACATGACAGACATCGTTTTAGATTTACATTGTGCAGTTTGCTATCATTATATTTCACACGTTCACCACTATAAAATGATTTCAAACAAAGACAAATGACTTTTATTTATCTAGAATTTTTATGTCAGTCAGAGTTAACCTTCCCAAGATTACAAATCCCTGCTACAAGACATTAAAAGATGAGCTATAGTAAACCATACTCCATCATGCTTTAAATCAGCACAATATGGACCTGAATATACCATTCAGTACTTGAGTTTGAAGCAACATTCGTTTTGTTCTTTTACATGGATTGAAACCAATACAGACTCATCACAAATAATCATTAACTGGACAAAATGGAAACCACCACACATTGTTTTAGCTTTTAAAAACTAAAACATACAAAGAATTCTGTGCCCTTAATATACAATAGAATGTTTAAAAGAAAATCTATAAAAAATAAAAGCTCTCCCACCATTACAAATACAGTAACTTGTGAACACATCTTTAAAAATCATTTGGCCATGTACGATATCAACAATCTGCACTTGTACTATAGTAAACAGGATCCTAGAAGAAGTAAATAAGAACAAATAAAATTTATTTTGAAGGGCTATAAGATTTTTTTTTCTAGAGGTGTTTTCACTTTCTTCATCATCGCGGAATCATGGGTCCTACTTAAAAAATGTTTAAAAAAGATCAGAAAATAAATCAGAAGGTCATGAATATAAGCATATCTGCATTAATAAAACATGATAAAATTAAAGTGTACTGAACAAAATAATGTTAACATACTTGAAGTGTTTCTTTTTCAGTCAGCATAGAATAAACCTTTACTTGTCACTTAAAAATGTGTTTTCTGTTCACTGTCTTTGATTCCCAACCGATTTACCCTTGTCTGTGATCCATCTTTGAAAGGCAGTGTTGGTCACATGGGTTTGAGTCAATTGAGTGGAGGTTCCACTCTTTCTGGGGTTAGATTAGATCGACCCTAGCTGTGTTGATACTCTATCTCTTTCTATCTAGAAGGATAGAAGTAGTTCACAATACACTTGTGCCACTTACACCAATAACTGTGAGGTAATACAATTATCAATGAAAACATCCAAGTTTACAACAAGCGTCCTTTCAAGGGTTTATCCTGTCTTGAGCCAATTGCTTGCTTTGATAGGTCCCTGCTTCCCCACGACCCTGAATTGGATGAAGAGGTTAGAAAATGGATAGCTGGAACACCCAAGACAACGGACAAAATAAGCTATACAGAAGCACATAAAACACATAAAAATAAACACTATGAAAATGACCATTAATTTAGACTTTGTCTAAATTAGTCAAGGACCAATTTATTGTTTAGATCTTCTAAATTCTTATTTTGTCTCTATAACATTTTAACTTTAGATTTAAATGAGCTGTTACTCAGAACTATGAGTCCTGCTTCAGTACCAAGGCACCTGTAACACTGTAATACTGCCTGTATTCTAACGAGCTAACCTCATTTTCCCACTTATGAGAAAAAAACATGGCAAGATCCCAAGGTACAGTAGTTGAACTCCTCCTCAAGCAATCCACCTTTTCCTTAGGAAGACCCAAGACCTCAGGTGAGGTGAGAAAGGAAACACCATCATATAGTATGTAAACATCATAGATTCCACCCTTAACATCCATACCATCAAAAATTAAATTAAAAGGACTGAATACACAAAAGAGCTGTTAAAAGGTAGTTGTGATTGCAGTGATTTGCACGATCAAGTGGCTAGATAGACACAAGAGGCCCAAATGATCAATGCTTTGATTAGGTGACCTTGTTTTGTAAAAAGTCAACTTGCATCTCTGTAAAAATTTCTTTTGTATCTGGGGTGTATATATATTAAACTATATAGTATATGTTAATTCCCCAGATGGCAATTCAATATTATAGAGAATTAAAATCGTAACATATTACCCTTCCTCTAATGACTTTGGATTCAGAATAATATATAATCAAAAGGAAAATCAATAATGCATGAAAAGGAGAAGCCATTGCCAATGAATTACAGTAGTGTTGCAGACATTTTATTAGCTGTGGTTCAATATATATGCACCTTAAATGCTTTCCCTTCTTGTCTGAAGTCTGAAATCCTTCCATGCTAGCAAAATGCATTTGTTCGCCTGCACAGAGCAGATGGTTGATGCATGTTCCTGTGTCCCATAGAGTACATAATTAGTTTACTTTTCGGTCATTTGGGATTTATCATGTCAGACATTACTACTGAACCGTGATAAACATTTGTGTCAGCTGTGTTACAAACCTTCGGTTTAGCTTTATTTCAGCCATGCAGGTCTTCCTTCACCTTTCAGAGACGTAAATTCCCCTGACAAGGACAGTTCCCTACTTGCATTATTTCAATTGAAAACCAAGTACTTCTAACACGCAAGGAGGGAAAAGGTAAAACAGCTTGAGGGCCGAAGTTCAGCACAGTTTGAAATAAATGATTTCACAGAACTGTCCCTTATTGACAGTTTGTGAGAGTTACTCACATACTGTAATATGTACCATTGTGTACTCTTTTCCAAAGATGTTTCAAAGAGTCAGTGATACAAACATAAATAACAACACAGACAAAAAAGCTACATGCAAAAAATATCTAAATGACACATTGTGATATTTTCACTTAAACAGGATTCTGTTGCTAAAGGTAGGTTTAAGTCTTTAATGTGGATCATTGTATGATGTCTCATTTTTGTGAGAGGATTTTACTGCCGGAGCTGTCTTGTTTATTGTTAAGCCACTGACTGTTCCATGTTCCCCTTTTGAGGATTATCTAGATTTGTTTCACTATGAACACTGAAGAATTTGAAACTTAGTCATTCTTTTAAATATGTAAATGTTGCTTAATTTTATTTAAGTAATGAAGAGAATATTTCTTTGTAGTGTTAACAGAAAAACAAGCATGATTTTAAACAAAGATGTTTCTGTAATGATCACTAAAAAAATTATTCATTAATCTACATTATGCAGAAAGCAGTGAAAGTGAAAATTAACAGAATGTTTCAAATACATAGGGTAAGGCAGAATGTTTAAATATTAAGAGCCATATTTTGCTTTTCCCCATTGTTTTGTCTGGTATGAAAAATGGTGCTTAATTCAGAAAGAACGCAGCCAAAGGTGATACCTGAGATTCATATAGATTTACATTTTCGAAACTATTTGCCTCAGGATTGATACAGCAGCATATTATGAATTACAAGGACACTGATTAGTCATTTATTAAACAATAAAATACACATACATTTAAAAAGAAAATATTTTAAAGAACGCGACTGAAACTTTATAAAGATGAAGCAGAAAATGTAGGTCTAATGCTAAATATCTGATTCATTCATTACAATTATTCAATTATATTATTTAGAAACACATGGATAAACAATATTATGTTATTTCTATCCATTTTTATGCAACAATACAAGCTATTTCTAAGTCAAAGGCTATTCTATAATTATGTGACTATTCTGAAAATAAGTATTGTCAATTCTGAAGGGATTAGGATAGGGTATTTATCCAAGAGTTAATTAATTTCTCAAGACAATAGTGCCTTTTCTGTCCCTGCACATGCCGGGCTTGGCACACTGCTTTTAGAGTATATTCATGCAGAGGTAGTGAGAGTAGCAGAGAAGTGCCATGGCCCTCACCATCTCCAGAGAGCAGGAGTAATTTGTGAACATTTTAAATCTAGCCTTGTTGAACTCTTGAAGAGTGTAGAAAGGCTCACAGAACCAGATTAAAAAAAACAAAAACAAAACTTGAATCTACTCTCAGTAATACAGTATGTTATGTAGTGGTGCCACCATGTGTATTAAAGCCCCCTTCTGACACTCAGTATATGGCATCAGAATGGAAAGAAATAACCAACAAATCAAAAACCTATTTAGTTTTTCCCATTATCCGTTAAAAGGTGTCTAGATAAGTGTACATGTCAATGTCCCTCATGGAAAAAGTGATAACAGCTTTGCTGCAATGGAACATGGAATTGCTTGCTGCCTTCTTAACTAGAGAAAACGGAAGAGGAATAGTTCAGGAGAGGTGATGCGTATCATTGGGAGTAAACAGCATGTTAAGGGACAAGAATGCTGAACTATTTATGTCTGTTATGGAAGAAGACAGCAGTACGATTCAAGTAAACCTTAAGATTTAAACTTGAAAATACTGTACACAAAATTAAAAAAATACAATAATATGTAAAGAACTAATAAATATAACAAATACTTAAAGCATGTTTAACCAAAGTGCATTGTAAATTGAGCCCACACAACAGATGTTTTTAAAAACATTTTCATTAATTTGGAAACACTGCTTTCATTGTTTTTTTTATCGTAGAAGTACTTTGACGTCACTTTATCCATGTTATTTTGGGGTCAGAAACTTTTAATTAACATACACCAGCTTTTTGAGGAGTCAGAAAGGACTGAATTAAAAAAAAATGAAAATAATGTAACTTACCCGTATCATCAGAACCGAGCACCTGATATCATGGATTGAGTCATAAACCTTTTTGGAGACATCAACAAAGAGGTTGTCGTCAAACTGATGCATTTGTCCTGTGTTCAGAGCGTCCATGGCTTTGCTGACTTGAGTAACAAATTCTGGAATAGCTGAAAAGAAAGAAATGTGATAAATTATATACTTTTCAAAGACAATAAGGGCTTCTAAATGTTTTTACAAGTACCATAACACTAGCATATGCTTGCTTCACATTTGCCTAAAATAAGTTGTTTTCATCATTAGGTAGTTTGTCTCCACAACTGGAATCATATGTTTTAGTGCTCAAGAATGCAATGACTTGTAGGAAGATGTATTTATTATACTGCAATCAGAAGAGGAATATTTCCTGCTGTCTGGTCTGATTATTTTATCTTTATTAGAAACTCTACAGTGTTGCTACTGGGTGCTATATACAGTAAGTAGAAGAAAGTAACTTCTTCTGTACCATTGAGTCTGTCCCTTTTATACTGTGGCACATACAGCACAGCTGTGAAAGTAATCCTATAAAATGTATTATAAAGGTTCACCTCCATTCCTTGCGAATGCTACAATATACTCTATTATTATTGCCAATGTCATCATGATTGTCAAGACGATCCAATAATACAATATTAATTATATCATGTTACATCTACTGTAGTTATTTGCTAATTCATCTGAATAAGGTTTTCCTACAGTATTTCAATAGCCTAATTAATGGCTAGGTTTAGTAATGTTGTGTTCAACTGAGATTTTTGAGATGGTTATTTTTAAAGCAAGCATACAATAAGATTTGACCAGTAGAATACAATGCTACTAAATAAAATAGATATTTCAGAAATGGCAAATTTTCAGAAATTACAAAAAAATATTCTGAATTTCAGAAATGACAAATTTTCATAACCTTCTTGATTGACAACTATACTTTATGAATCAAAACAGGTAAGGAATTAGACGTGGTAATGCTTTTTACATTTTTTGGGTGAAACTGAATTTGGCATTAAAGCCTTGAGCAAGAGTCTGAGGTGAACGACTGTATTGAGTGGATGTTAATATATTTTCTATATTTGCATAGATTTTTTAGATGGTCAAAAGGGTGGAAAATGTGATACTGTACATTTCAATATGTGTAGAATTGAAACAATCAGAAAAGTCTTTATATATAACATGGCATTATGCAGACATTAAAAATAACCAGCAGATCGTATGTGTTTTCTTGGCCGTGCCACTTAGTGCCTTCAGCATATTCAATAAGTCAAATCATGAATGCCTTCTTGGTAAAATTACATTCACATAATCGGTAATTTAAATTTAAAAAGTACATGAAATATTAAGTTAAGCACTACACAATGCATGCCACTGAATATATGATTAAAGTAATAAAATAGAGGTAAACTTATTTTATTCTTCTTGTTACATTCTTTTATGTCCTTGAATTCCATGAAGATCAACAGATGAAGGATTGATAGTTTGTATAGCTTAATGTTAACTGGACTGTGCACAATCTGACTTTTCGCTCCTATGTTACACAGGGAGAAAAGAGTGAAGGTCAAAAACAAAAGTACTACAGTCAGCAAATGGATGCCTACTTTTGCTTTGATAATCAGAATTAAATTGTGTGTAAATACATTTCAGCTTTTTTTTTACCTGATACAAAACAATAAATCTAGACAGTTTTTTTTTTAAAATAATGCAGCTTTCTTATTTCATATGATAGAAAGTATATTTAACTAAGCTCAGGTTATCCATTCTTACAGTATTAAAAACAAATAATCACCTAGGACTCCACTTCCAAAGGCTATCCATTAAAGAGAATTAATCCAGTGATAGCTGGGCTGGTACACAACAAATTTCTGCATTGCAGAAAGTGATAGCCAGTTCTAATTCCTAGAATATTTATTTTTATTTGCAATGTACAAACTTATTAAATTTACTGAAAATGTGAGTCTTCTAGTATAACAAAACAGACATTTAGGTATCCTTTCTAAAAAAGAAAACCGAATAAGCAAGGGAAATGTATGAGGTTTAATTAAAATACTGCATAATGTAATCTCCTTTGATAAAATTTACTAATGCTGTTCCAAACCATCCAAAGTTTACTAAATCATATTCAAAATTCAGAAATTATGTCATACAGTGTAAATGACCTGCCAAAAAGGTAGTGACATTTTGCATACTTCTGCTTCTTCTTTTTAGTGACAATATGCAGAAATCTCCCCAGGAAGGGTGATAGTCACTGCCATCACTGAGCTCTGTATTCTAACATTTTCATGTTATTGAAGGTTTTTATTCAAATCTAAAAGACTTCAGGGAGATAAGAGAGACTCAAGCAGCCTGTGATGCAAGTAATTTGCTTATCTCCAAAAAACTTTTATTTGGTGTCACATGAAATAGCATATAACAAGGATTGATAAGCTGCGTAGTTTACAATGTACCAGTAACATAAACCTCAGTCTTTGTTTTTAATCCGGACTTTCTTTCATTTGTTTTCTTCTATGTCTTTTTTCCTTGTCTATGCAGAGAATTTGGGTACTTTTTTCTGGATTAATCTTGAAAATCATTCTTTGTATGCTAAGCATCAAAAGAAACCATCTATGCATGTATGTTTCTAGGGAAAAAAAGAGCTTTACATGTATCAATTTAAATATTTTTAATTGAAATTCTTCAAATACTTGTTTACAAGCTATGAAGAAAATGGCATGAAAAATCAGGTTGTAAATCAAGAGCCGGCCATTTACAGTAGGTTAAAGACAGATCATCCAAAACAGAATTGAGTCCTTTAAGTTTGTTGAGGAGAAATGGCTAAGTACTTAGTCTTTTTCATCTGGTCAAATCCATCTTATAAAAATATTTAAAATAAGTGTATTTTTCATTTGGAAAGAAGGAGAAAATATCTTTTATACATTTTTTGGTTTTACCTTCGCTTGTTGCATGCCAACATTTTCATAAATTTTCTATAAGGTTGTCAAGCTTGTACTAAGCAGAGGCACTGAAAAAATTACACTTAAATAAATAATTTAAGTAGGAAAAGTGAAAAATAGCCATTATTATAAAAGCCTGCTTAGGTTATAGTCATTAACTACTTGTGTTTTCTAATGAGAAGGAAACTGAAATTTTATTCGTGAGGCAATATGCATAGTACTTCTCTCATTCGTTTATAATTAATGAATCATTAGCAGTAGAATAATCTTAAATGCAAATGGATAGTGAAAGACTTATGACACTGTTTTTTTATTCATGAAACCCACGTTTGCAGTAACTTATGTAACGTATTATAAGGAGGTGCATAGCTCAAGAATCCTGTTTAATGAAGCATACAAATGACACAATAGAAAAAGCGTGCTACAAAATCTTATGAAAAAATAACTTGTTTAATTTATTTTGGGTTATTTTAGAACTTGGTTAAATTTACAAAGGAAGTCATATCTAATGAATGAAATTATGGCTGTCATTGGTATTGTACACAGTAATAGATTAAGGCAAGTTGAAATAAAGTAAAAATATTTACTTAATGAAACATATGTAAGAAAGGAGAGTGTAGATTATTGACCATTGCTTTCAGTCTATAGTGGATTTTATTTCCATTATCTAAGATATGTGTTGACATTCTTTGCTGTATTATCTGTATGCTTAATGCACATTTAATAATAACATGAAAGTGTTCCACTGATAGGAAGTATTGTATATTAGGTTGTGATAGGATTGAAGAGTATACAGTATGTAAATTCATTGGCAAGAGGAGTTGAAATAAATTGAAAGGAGCATATGACTGTTAAACTTTTTGTCACATATACAGAGTATCTCAGAAACAGTGCCAACCTGCAGTATAAACCAGAAATGTATGTAAGGTACAGTATATTGATAAGATAATGCCCATCAAGGATTAACATACAATAATAGCAATGTATGCTTTCCAAGTGGTGTGCCACACTTCAAACAAATCACAGCATATATGGCAATGTTCCCACTTTTCCAGTGCATTACCTCATCTGACACTATGAACATTCTTAACATTATTTCCTGTATTACATACTTCATCAAACAATCACAATTCCAAAGAAAATCTCATACCATGGTTAACAGGAAGCTGCAATAACTTTCTTTTCAAGACACAAAATGTGATATTGTTTTAATATCACTTACTATCGCCCGTGCTGGATATGTTGTTTTAACAATATTACTCTATTCTGGAAGTCAGGTCTTAAATAGCCCCTGCAAAAAGGTGGAGAAACAGATAAACCTAATACCTCTCATTTGAGAACTACATTACAGGATTATGCTTTCTGGTCCTTAGTCACAGAAATCAGCAGTAAATACTTATTGCAAAGGCCACATGTAAAGAAGGTAACACAATACTTGCTGTTCCCAAAATGACAACCCAGGGATCACAGAAATAGTGGGAGTCATGTTGTGTCTTTAAAAAGAATAGCATGAAGCCTTACCTGTATCAACTGCATGTATACACAGATATTAAAAGATAATATATTGAACACAATTTTTTACATTTCAAACATTGTTCCGTGTTCTACATACTGTTTACTCTGCATACAAATTTAGACATTCTAGAAAATATTATTCAACACTGTAGGTAAAAAAAAAGATTTTATTGACTTAAACAACAACCATCTCATGAAGACTCAATTGCCTATGAGCACAGTTCAGATTTAATTTTTGTCTAGCTGGGATGATTCAATAGTTTTAACTTTGAACTGTCAGGTGGCTGCAGAGTCTGAAAGGAAGCCAAAGTTTCACTTCAGCTGAGTGCTTTTGGTATCTATTTTAATGCAGATACTTGTGCCTTTAGGCCACAAGAAGAAATATTCAGAGCATTATAGATATAAACAGCAGGTCCTTTCTATGCTCCAGTTGGCTGACTAGGCAAGTACAAAAATGCAGACCACATTAGTAAATTCGTCGTGGGCCACAAAATTGGACTCCTGTGCTAAAGGGCATGTATTTTTACAATAAGGACAGATAAATTAAAATACCCATCATTCTCTAATATCTAAAGATAACATCTTATGAATAGTAATACACTCACAGACATTGAAAGCTAAATATGGAAATCAGTTTCTAATGAGCCTGTTCTGATTACCACTACAACCTTGGAGAGTGTCAGGATGGATTGGGC